AGAAGAAGAAGAAGAAGAAGAAGAAGAAGAAGAAGAAGAAGAAGAAGTTGTTTATTGTCATTGTACAAATACAACAAAACTGTGGATGCACCCTAGTAACTGTTCTCAATACAATAAAGCTAGAGCACTTAAAATGAAGATAAGAAAAATAGAGTACCCACAACTCCATTTGCAATAATATATACAAAATATACATCCAACACTGACTGTGATGCTTTGCTGAGTATAATACACAAGAGATGGATTGTACTGTAATATGTTATTACACATCTGAATGAGATATTGAGATTTCACATCTTAATAAGGTAGTGACTTTGTTAGTCTAGTGGTGTGGGATTTTATTGACCTAAAGCGCTGTCCAGACGGCAGCAGGTCAAAAAGATAATTGCCAGGGTGTGAGAGGTCTCCTATAATGGCCTTAATTCTGCTTTGGCAGCGGGACCTGGCTAAGTCTTCCAGGGAGGGCAGAGGGTAACCAATGATCTTTTGAGCTGTGTTTATCACCCCTCTGTACAGTTTTCCTGTCCTCAACTGTGGAGCCTGCATACCACACACCTAGACAATATGTCAGAGTGTTCTCCACAGAGGCTTTATAGAAAGCCAGCAACAGCTTCTTATCCAGATTGTTTTTCCTGAGAACCCGCAGGAAGTGCAGCCACTGCTGAGCCTTCTTCACTATGGCCTTGGTGTTTGGGGACCAGGAGATATCAGCTGAAATATGGATGCCAAGGAATCTGATCGTAGGGATAGTTTCCACTCGTTCTCTATTGATGATGAGTGGGGCATGGTCCTGTCCATGTTTCCTGAAGTCCATAATCAGTTCTTTGGTTTTACGGACATTCAGTGACAGATTGTTCTGTGAACACCAGACAGACAGGTTCTCTACTTCTGCCCTATATGCCATCTCATCCTCTCCGGAGATGAGACCAATCACGGTCGTGTCATCCACAAACTTTATGATGGTGTTTGTTGCGTGGTTTGGTGAGCAGTCAAAGGTGTACAAGGCATACAGCAGGGGGCTCAAGACACAACCCTGGGGGGAACCAATACTGAGTGTAATAGTGGAAGAAAGGTGGGGGCCAAGTCTAACAGACTGAGGTCTGTTTGTCAAAAAGTTCTTAATCCAGGAGCATGTGGGGGTGGGGACCCACAGAGTATACAGTTTGGTTACTAGTATATCTGGGATGATAGTGTTAAATGCAGAGCTGTAGTCCACAAAGAGCATCCTCACATAGGTCTGTTTGTTCTCCAGATGACTCAGCGCTCTATAAAGTGTGATGGCCACAGCATCCTCTATAGATTGGTTTGCTCTATAAGCAAACGGATGTTGATCAAAGGAGGGCAGAAGGCAGTCTCTGATGTGCTGTGAAACTAGTCACTCAAAAACCTTCATCATGAAGCTTGTTAACATTATGGGCCTATAGTCATTGAGAGTGTTTATATTTGTTTTTTGGGGGGGAATGGGGATGATGGTTGCGGCTTTCAGGCATTGTGGGATGATGGCATGTGTTAAAGATAGATTGAACAGCTCTGTAAGTATTTCTGCCAACTGGTCAGCACATGCTTTAACTACTGCACCAGGAATGCCATCAGTCCCTGCAGCTTTCCTGGGATTTACTGCTCTCAGTGTTTTTCTCACCTCATGCACCTGAAGAGAAAGAGGTGCAGCGTTGTGGTCCTTGTGAGGCAGTATGTCCAGGTTCTTGGTGGTCTCAAAGCGTGCGAAAAAGCTGTTTAGCTCCTCTGCTAGAGTGCTACTGCTCTCGCTGTTTGTTGGGCCCTGGTCTTTATAGTTGGTCAGGGCCTATATCCCTCTCCACATCTGCCGTGGGTCACTGTCAGTAAAGTGGCCCTCAACCTTCCTCCTATACATCTCCTTGGCATGTTTGATGCCCCTTCTCAGCTCAGCTCTGGCAGTGCTGTACTGTGAGGTGTCACCTGCTCTAAAAGCCAGGTCACAGGCCCTGATCAGAGTCTGGACTTCGCTGGTCATCCAGGGTTTCCTGTTTGGGGAGGTCCGTATGCGTTTGTCCACAGTGACATTTTCCACACAGGTCTTCATGTAGAAGAACACAGTCTCTGTGTATAACTCGAAGTCCTGTTGTTTGAAGATGCTCCAATCTGTGCGGGCAAAACAATCCTGAAGCTGGGAGAGGGCATTTTCAGGCAAGCATCTAAGGAACTGCTTAGGTTGAAACTTGTTTTGAACAACCTGCACAGGCATCTAGACTCCTATTTATACTTCTTACATGCTCAAAGTATTCCCCAGCTACAACTTGCCTGAACCTAGGAAACTGATCTATCTGCTTTTGAAATTTACTGCTCCTTCATTGTTCAGTCCATTCCATAGCCAAACATTGGTGGTGGTGTTCTTTAAAATGCAAAATAAAATTATAACTCTAGAATCCCTTTACCTGACTAGTTATCGATAACTCAAATCTCGTCAACATGTTTGAGAAGTTAAGGCTTTTGTTTCAACATACATCATTTTAATTTACTGAAAAATGAACCACATTTGGCATTTAGCTGACCATTCACCCAATTTAAAGATGTTTAAAACTCTTCATAATGACTTGGCTTTCACTACTTTCAGGAGCTAGATAACATCTGAAAATTTAATCAGTTTGCTGTTTATCTCCAAGATAATTTATGAATGGGTTTAAAAAGTATCTGACCAAAGAAATGTGAGGGATTTGACTTCTTTCTGTGCTGAGAAACTTGCTCAATTTTTTTCTACTCTTTGCTTTGATTTTCAACTTTTTAAATTTTTAATTCAACTTATAATTTAAAAAATATAGAAAATATAGAAAGGCAGTTACTTTTATTCCATGACCTCTAGGTTTATTTGAAATTTTTTGTCAAAGGAACTTGAGCAAATTTAGGAACTCTGTCAAAATCCAAACATACAATGTTGACGAGATGTCCTCATTTACATGCCTACTGAAATGCTCCAATAACTGTTATACGGTTAGTGGGATAGGATTTACCCTTGCAACCATGCTGATTCTTATTCAGCTAAGCTTGTTCCTATGTGCCATGTTTCTCAAATTTGGCAACTTTAAGATGTTGGAATTCAGCTCTGTAGACGTCAGTTCTGGGAGCTGAAGTTGCAAAGTTTGAGAAAAACTGGTGTACGTGCTTTAGTTAATTTTTCTTTAATATTTATTACATATAATTTTTCTAGAAAAGTTGTTAGGTCAACCAGACTATATTTTTTCTACATACTCTCTTGGTGTCTCTTTAAAAATTCCAGTCTTGTGACACTGAATTAAATATTTGTGCTAGGAGACCCAAATTTCACATCTGAATAGGTGAAACTGGATGGATACCATTTGTTAGAGCGTAGTCTCTTAAAATGTAGTCAATATCATAATTTATTTTAGTTGTTTGGAATATCTGATAAAGTCAATACAGACTCAAAATCTATACCTTCTATGTCTATATTTTCCTTGAGCAATCTTTTCATTATTCCTTCGTATATGGACAAAGACTGCTACCTCCTTCCCAAAACTATCCAGCAATTTATCTTGATAGCGTATAATGTCTGCAACTTTTGTACCAGCAGATAGGCACTATTGTTCACAAATCCACCTCTAAGTTTCTAATAACCAGACTGCATATAACCAAAAGCTGTTCACCTTCTGGAGGACTATCTTCAGTATGAAAGCATGTGGATTCACCACTCCAAACTAAGTTCTCCAACAGTCATGTCTCCCTTACCCTCAGAGTAGTATCTTTCTTCCTTGGAAGCCTTGGCAGCCCTGGGAGTAAGACAAAGATATCACTCTTTGTACTTCTTTGGCTCTCAAAACATCTCCAAATTATCTTTGGGTTTTTTCCCTTTAAACTACTTTAAGTTTAGAGATCTGGATTCTAAACTTATATAAATATTTAGCCTATGAAAGTGGGAAATTCTCATCCATTCTCCTGCCTTACAAAATTCCCCTACTCCTGTTTGTTCACTCAGTTTGCAAATTCACAACTTCCTTTCCCTTCCTTTTTTTAAAAGGAATGTTGGTTGGGACAATGCAGTTGGCTGAGGAATGTTGACTCTACCCATTAACAATTTGACTATTTTAGACATGGCACAATTTCAACTGATTCTGGGCAGTCAATTACAGTTATAAGCCCATCCTCCTATGTGCCATACAAGTAAGCACTTACTGTATTGAACCAGAAAAAAACATAAATCATTTCCACTAATTAACCAAACAACCTTCCTTAAATATAACTGATCAGTTCCATAAACTCATCAGCTCTCTTGCAAAGCTCTCCCCTTACTTTTTGTCAATTTGTCTGTTTGGAAACTTCAAATGACCTCTCCTTTTGCAAAGAAATACAGCTACTTTAATGTTTTAAGAAAAACAAAAACAACTATGTCACTATATATGGTCTTCATTCAAATATTTAAATAGTATGTTAATGATTATATCTCTCATTACCAATATTGTCCAAGATGTGATCACAAGCCTATTATTTCTAATAAGTGAACAATCCCCATGCATAGCCCAGTTAACACAATTTATCATATTCAATAAGATTATACTGTTAAAGGTAAAGGTTCCCCTCACACATATGTGCTAGTTGTTTCCAACTCTAGGGGGCGGTGCTAATCTCTGTTACAAAGCCGGAGAGCCAGCGCTGTTCGAAGACGTCTCCACGGTCATATGGCCGGCATGACTAAATGTTGAAGGTGCACGGAATGCTGTTACCTTCCCACTAAAGTGGTCCCTATTTTTCTACTTGCATTTTTACATGCTTTCGAACTACTAGGCCGGCAGAAGCTGGGACAAGTAACGAGAGCTCACTCTGTCAAGCAATGCTAGGGATTTGAACTGGCCAAACTACCAACCTTTCTGATCGACAAGCTCAGCATCTAAGCCACTGAGCCACCACTCTCTTTTCACTGTTAAATCCCAGTAAATGATTTTGCTGAAATAGAGATAATTATGTCAACAGAATTTTGAACAAAGGTTCTATATTCATAAGCTTCAGACTCACAGATTCTAAGACTATTGTGTGGAATTGCTCCCAAGAAAAGAATTGAGAATTAGGATGGAGAACATTGCTGAGAAACTTCTAACTCTGGAAATAGTTGAACTACAACTCCCAGCATCCTTCACTATTTGATGTGCTGGAACATGGCAAATAGTGTTAGGATTTGTAGTTCAGCAACTATAGTTTTTATTGTTTATCCAAATATTTTTTCACTTGCATGCTTTTGCATTATATTATTACCAAATGAGTGAAGATTTCCCCCTTTCAGTGATCATTAATATGTTCATTGCTTAGCTATTTCAAAAATGCTGATGTACTCTGAAAGGGGTCATACTGAATGCCTGTTCATTTCAATACCCTAAGGCTTCCCCACACTGTCTGCAAAGAGTGCATTTTGACCTAAATGCTGTGATCAGCAGCTGATCATTGCATTTTACACAAAAAGACAGCCTTTACAAGCAGTTCTGTGAAACAGGTGGAGAACAAGGGTTGTTATTATTTTTCTAACTAAACCTTTCTTGGTTATAAAGATGTACAGAACCCAAGATCCTTCCTGTCTGTCTCTTTGAGTATCTAATTCTCTCTCCCTTCTTCTCCTCCTTCTTCTTCTCCCACTCCCTATTTCTTTCTATCGATCTATCTATCTATCTATCTATCTATCTATCTATCTATCTATCTATC